AAGTATATTTCTGGGCCTTATCTAAGAGTTCCAGATCTAGTAGCCTGATAATTTGCTTTTCTAACATGTGATGATGCTGCTCCTTTTCTGGGGACTGCACTTTGAAACTGGTCTAACATAATGAGCACAAAACTTAGCATAGAGTTGGAGCTTGATAAAAAAAATCTGAATATATAACTGCTGCTATTACTGAGTTCCTAAAGCTTAAACAAAAACCTCCAACTTTACATAAAATAAAAATGCAGTCTTAACTTTCACAGTGTTTTGCTTGAGCTGAATTCTGCCTTTTTCTACACTCTTTGCTAACCAAAGCAGCTATTTACTATATCTGGTTACCACTGTTCCCAGAAAGGCAAAGGATAATTATACTGGAACCACAGTCTTTTGTGCTGCTTTGTAATACTTCATCAGGATAGACTTTTCAAAATAATATTTTTTAAAAAGTTTTAAAAGAAGTTGAAAGTTTTTTATTAGTCAAAAGAAAAACAAATTTTTGTAAACAAAAACAAGTATTTGTAAATAATGAAGGGTTTGTCATTACCTATTCTAAACGTTTTTTATAATTTAAGATTAGTCTGTGGTCATAATTAATTCTTAATTTAAGTATCATTGATTTTTCAGCTAATTCCATTTCATTTCTTACTAGGTTTATCATTGCTCTAAGTACTATAAAATAATTAGCAGTCAGTACTCATATTTCTGTAATCGATTATAAACTACAATAAAATTTAAGACCAGTGATGAGCCACATAAAAATAGATTTTTTAACATTTAAACAAGATTAAAGAATTTTGTGATGTTTTTGTTTATGGATTTTGTTTTTTTGAAATGGCTTTAGACTTTTGCACGTTGACAATGTTTTTTGCTAGGAGTTAGTTTGAGCTGGTTTGAAGTTGATAAAACTAAAAAGCGTATTGGCCCTTGCTAGTTAGTGAATAAAGATATATATAACAAAAGCACCTAGTATTTAAGCTTCTTGGTTGATCTACCAAAAATAATTTTTCTATTGGTATTCAGTTTGAAGCCTCCTTAGTCCTGTGCAGTGGGATTGTTCTCTTTGTATTTTACTTAGAGAAAAAGTGGTTCTCACACAGGTTGGAAGGGAGGATGGCCCTAGAGTTTGGAAAGAAATTTCATGGTCTGGACTTTGGTGACTTCCAGGGAGTGAGAATAAAAAAGGACCCCTTCTACCTATAGGTATCCTTTTCACATAGAGGCCTTTTTTTTTTTTTTTTTAAACTACCTTTTTTGTTAACAGTCTTACAGATAGGTTTTAGTTCTGCATTGTTCAAGTGTACAGAAGTTTCATTTCTTTTAAATGATGGTATGATATTACAATTTTTCCTAAATTTATTTGACTGTGGTACCCTTTTTGTCTACTCTTGTTAACACCAAGGGCATGGTTATATGTAGCACTATTTAAAAAATTCTAGTCTAGATTAACAGACAGAATAACAGACCAGTTGGAAGGGGCTGCTTACTGATATGAAAGGAAAGAACTTTTGCTACTTTGTGTTATTTTCCTGATTGAAATGGTAAAACATTTCTCAAATACGCAGGTTTAATAAATTGGATTCAAGTTAGTTCACCTTCTGTGACTTCTTAACCATCAGCTTTAAATAGATTTGATTTTGGTAGCCATCTTTTGGTTTTGTTTTGGCTAGAATAACTCATTAAAAATCGGTGATCAGTGTATAGAACACAACTCTCCAACTGAACTTTCTTCAGTATTGGAAATGTTCCATATCTGTGTTGTCCTATATGACAGCCAGTAGCCACAGATGGTTATTGAGCTTTTAAAATGTGCTAAGTGTGACTAAGGAACTTTAGTTTTTTTAAATCCTCATTAATTTAAATCTAAATAGGCACATGTGGCTAGTAGCTGTTGTATTGGACAATGCAATCTATAGAATATATTTGTAGAATAGAGTATTTTTCATACTTTTAAATTGATGGAATTAAAACTACTCTTTGGGGGATATTTTTGGAAAGTTAAGACTCTGATGACTATACTTAAATTATATGCATTCTGTAGTCACATGATTGAGAGAACTCAGTCATTTTTCTCTTTTAAAAACTATAGTAATTTTCACTTAAAGAAGGAGATATGTTCTGAGAAATGCATCATTAGGCATTCATCGCTGTGCGAACATCATAGGGTGTACTTACACAAACCTAGATGGTGTAGCCTACTACACACAGGGTATGCAGCATAGCCCATTGCTCCTAGCCTAAAAACTATACAGCATGTTACTGTACTGCAGACTGTAGGCAGTTGTTACATAGTGGTATTTGTATATCTAAACATAGAAAAGGTACAGTACAAATATAATATATAAAGGTAGAAGATGGTATGCCTGTATAGGGCATATACTATGGAATGGAGTTTGCAGGACTGGAACCTGCTCTGATTGGGTCAATAAGTCGTGAGTGAATGAAGGCTTAGGTAAACTACTGTAGACTTTCTAAGCACTGCACATTTGGGTTACACTAAGTTTATAACAAATATTTTTCTTCCTTCAGTAATGTTAACCTTAGCTTACCATAACATTTTTACTTTATAAACCTAATTTTTTTAGCTTTTTGATGTTTTCATAATAACGCTTAGCTTAAAACACAAACATATTGTACAACCATACCAAACTATTCTTACTCTATAAGCTTTTATTAATTTTTTTGTTTTTGTTGTTTTTTTGCTTTTTAGACTTTTTTTAAAAAGCTTAGACAAGTATACACATTAGCCTAGGCCCACACAAGATGAGGATCATCAAGACATCGCTAGGTAATAGGAATTTTTCAGCTTCATTATAATTTTTTGGGACCACTGTTATGTATGCCATCCATCATTGACCAAAACATTGTTATGTTCACATAACTGTACATATACTACTAACTTCTTTTGTAGGTAATTCTTTTGTGTAAATAATAGTACACTCTGAAATAATTGAATAGGTTTTCACATTCATTTTTAAGAAAAGTATAATAGGAAGAAAGAAGATAATCTGTGAGATAAGAGAACTCAGATTTAGTTCCTTTTGCCATTGGCGTGCTTGCCAGTATTGAAGCAGTTGCAGAATTTTTGTGGCTATTAATGTATCTGTAAGTTGGAGATACAGTATATGTAAATGTCCTTTGAAAAAAGAGCTGTACAAAATGAACATAATTCACATTATAAATGTTGATTTTGAATAATTATAGAAAATGCTAAAAATTTGACTCGTTTTCTGTGAATGTACTTTGAGTTATAAAGATTATGATCCTTAATCTTTTCATTTTTGATAAGAGTAATGCTCAGTTGGTAGACAGGTAAAAACATTAAGTTATATAAATTATCAAAATAAAAGTGACTAAACAATTGAATAATTTTGGAATAAATTTATTATTAAGGATACAATTATTTGGAGGCTGAATTATTTTCAGAGTAGGTCATCTAGGACGGAACATAGGAAATTCTAGTAAGTAAGTGTTTTATAAGCAACTTATTTAATATATTGATACCTCTTATCCATGGACTTGCTGATTGAATAAAATATTTTACTCTGTCAATTGACTTAACAGCTTCATTTTACTTGTGAACTGCCCAAGCAATTTATTTTTGTATTTATTCAGCTAGCATTCATTTGTTAGTGGTTTTTGAATATCATCACTTTTAAGACGTGGTGATTATTTTAAAAGTTTTCCACAAGCATTTTGAACTGTATAAAATAGAACTGATGACTTCTTCATAAGAACGTATATATTATGTAGTCACAAGTATAGCCTTAATATAAGTGATACCTTTTTCAGCATGTAATGAAACATAATTTTTAAAGCTGTATATAGTTACTGTGACAATCATTGCCCTTTAAATAGTGGTTTTTCATCCTTTCTAATTTACATTACACAAAAGTCTTCTCATATATTAAAGATGATATTTTAATATTGTTTAATTTTTTTTTTTTTTTGAGACGGAGTTTCACTCTCGTCGCCTGGGCTGGAGTGCAATGGTGTCATCTTGGCTCACTGTAGCCTCTGCCTCCCGGGTTCAAGTGATTCTCCTGTCTCAGCCTCCCAAGTAGCTGAGATTATAGGCGCCCACCACCAGGCCCAACTAATTTTTTAGAGATGGGGTTTCACCATGTTGGTCAGGCTGGTCTCAAACTTCTGACCTCAGGTTATCCACCCGCCTTGGCCTCCGAAATGCTGGGATTACAGGCGTGAGCTGCCGTGCCCAGCCTATTGTTTAATTTTTTAATACGACTATTAAATGGTCTTACCACTGTATGGCATTATTTGGGATTTAGTGGTTTGTCTTACATTTGAAGTATATATTAATGACTAAATAACTGAAGATCATATTTTAGATAAGAATGATTATGTTTTCTGACATACAGTTCAGGTTTTTTAGAAGATGTATTACTTTAGTTTATATTCTGTTTATTTAGCTTATATTTTACTATTTTTAATCTTTTTCACCTTTATAATAACTTTGTTTTTTATATAAAAATGCCTGATGTTTTTCAAAAAAGATACGAATACTTACTCTTCCCCAAGTACAGAAAAAGTAGTACAGTCAGCCCTCTAGCTAAATATTTGAATATAGGTCATTCTTAATACTATTGTTTTTGAGATACTTTCATTCATTTTACCTCTATCAAATTTAGTGGAAATAACATTTCATATTTAGTTTGGCTGTTCTCTTTAAAAACACCAATACACGTATCTTTACAATTCCTTTTGAATTTTATAGTTAAGTTATTAATGTTATTGATGTGAAGATATCAAACGTTTTAATTAAGATGACTCAGAGACATCTTTGAGCATATATAATTCAGAATATGGCAGAATATTTTAAACATTTCACAGGGTCATGAAACTCTGAGCATTTAAAGGATTTCAGTATAGTTCTCTAACTGGTATGTGCTAAGAATTTGAAATATGTTTCAGTTGCTTGAGATTAGGAAGTAGAGATAAAATTTCATATATATATATATATATATATATATATTTTTTTTTTAAAGACACCTAGCTGTTGGGCAGAAGAGGGTGCAGAAAAGAGGTCACATCAGCGTTCTGCGTCATGGGGGAGTGCTGATCAACTAAAAGAGGTAAGTTATTTTTGTTTTCCATCTGTAACCTGTTTTGGTCCTAGGAGATTACCTTAGTATTTCCTGAATGTAATGACACTTTTAAAATTTATCCTAACCTTACCTCTTTCAGTAAGGTTAGGACAAATTCTAGGGTAAGGTTAGGATAAATTCTAAGGTATTTTTAAGGTTAGTACAAATTCTAGGTAGGTAGGTTGCATTCTACATTTTGGTGAACAAGTCTAAATTTACCTTATTTGTGTATTTTGTGTCATTTCTAAATATTTGTTATGCTCTCAGTCAGCTTTAGCCTTTCCAGAGTGAAGTCTAATTTTATGTAATACTCTCTATCTTGTTCATTTTAGTTATCTTTTGTTCTCTCTTCAGCTTGCTTGTTTTTGAGTTGTAGCAACCAGAGCTATAGGCTATATAGCTTTGTACAATGGTAGGATAGTGTTTTCTGTTTCTAATAGCTTTTTTTTTTGAGACAGAGGCTTGCTTTGTAGCCCAGGCTGGAATGCAGTGGCGCGATCTCGGCTTACTGCAAGCTCCACCTCCCAAGTTCATGCCATTCTCCTGCCTCAGCCTCCCAAGTAGCTGGGACTATAGGCACCCCCCACCACACCTGGCTAATTTTTTGTATTTTTAGTAGAGACGGGGTTTCACCATGATAGCCAGGATGGTCGTGATCTTCTGACCTCGTGATCCACCCTCCTCGGCCTCCCAAAGTGCTGGGATTACAGGCGCAATCTAATAGCTTTTTAATGATATCCAGTATATTGTTGCCCTTAGGAACCCAACAGTAATCCATGCTTCTTAGAAACTTAGTTTCTATGACCCATTTCCTTATTCATTATGAATAACCTGAGGTGTCGTATCTTTATGTATATTTTGGATTATTTTTCCTGATAGTTTTATCCATCTAAATTCTTTTCTATTGTTTTTATAAATTACAGAAACTTAGAATTAAAAGGTCATCTAGTCTGTCTTCTACATAAATGCTCCTTAAAAGATGGTCGTCGAATCTTATTCTTTTTTTCTTGTTTCAAGGTGGAATCTTACTTTGTCACCCAGGCTGGAGTACAGTGGCACAGTCTTGGCTCACTGCAGCTTCTGCCTCCCGGGTTCAAGTGATTCTCCTGCCTCAGCCACCCGAGTAGCTGGGATTACAGATATGTGCCACCATACCCAGCTAATTTTTTGCATTTTTAGTAGAGACGGGGTTTTGCCATATTGGCCAGGCTAGTCTCAAACTCCTGACCTCAAGTGATCCGCCCATCTCGGCCTCCCAACGTGCTGGGACTACAAGCATGAGCCGCCCCACCAGGCCATGATCATTCTTAGTGAGGGAAACTCATTACTTTATAAAAAGAGCCAGTTTAATTGTTTTAAGTTGTTAAATATGTTCTCTTATGTATTGAACTTAGAATTAGATAACTTAGTTTTGACTTTGCCCTCTGGATCAATATTGAGTAAGTCTAAGTCTTTTAAAGGCCAACAGTAAGTCATTTTTTTCCTCCAGAGTAAACATTTACATTTCTCTCAAAATTTTTTTCATATACCAGTTTCTAGGCCTCTTTGTATAATTTTTATATACTATAGGTTATCAGTATCCCTTACATACTGTGGTGTCTGGATTGCATAGATATAGTTTATTAGCATGATTTTACTTATGATTGTATTACATTTTAGCAGCTTCTTTATAGTATGGATGTAGAGACCTACTCAGCTCCTTCTGCCTACCGTACATGTATGCAAAAAATCAGTTTTCTGCAGCAGCAACAAAAAATAAATGAAACTAAGTCTAATATCTCTAGCTTACTGTAACTACATATCTGTGTATAGCATATGAATAACAAAAAAGTGAACTTGTATTTTTATCTCAGAGTTAAATACGATCTTAGTGTTATCACCAAGATTTACTAATCATTAGACTGAATGGAAATAATGCCAGATATTAATTTGAATCCATAGGAAGAATTGAAGAGTGCTGGGAATAGTAAATATGTAGGTAAATATGAAAGAGTTTTTAATGACTCTTTTGTTGGATTTTTAATCGAATAATAACTGGATTTCAGTAATAGATGACATACACTATTAAAAAGGAATGACTGATTCAGTGAGAATATTTGTTTTCCACAGAAGGCAACCATAAAGCTGGACAAAACTGTCAAAACAACTGAGTACTTTACCAAACAAACAAAGAAGCTTTATTCATGAAAACTAATGAACATAGGGTAGGAATAGCACAAATTCGTGATCTGGTGCTACCCCTTTTCTCCTTTTCCTTCTCCTTAGCTCTGTTGCATAGCATTTCAATCAGGATGAAAACCAGCAGCTTTGTTTCCACTGTTGTAGAGAAATCGCTTGCTTTGGAGCATTGTAGGTTAAAATGGTGATCCTTGTGGCAAGTAAACAGAGAGGGCCAACAACTTTATTAGTCTAAGATTGTAGTCCAGTTTGAGGCCAGCAGTAGGCTCATGGACTAGTTGAGTTTAATAGAGACTTTTGAGAGGTAAGACAGTAGTGGGAGCTTGATAAATTCCCCACATATCCCAGGTTGACTGGAGGCTGTGGACATGCACAGCAGAGAACAGAGTGGGCCCAGGCCACTGATGTGTTCCTGGCCAGAACAGCCTAGGAACAGGTGCAGAGGAAATTCAAGTGGGCTACTGGAAATAAAACCAGGGAAGACTTGTAAAAAACCTGAATTTGGAATGCTGTCCTCTGTCCACAAACAAATCCTATCAGTAAGAAATAGAACCCTTATTGACTTGAGATGTTTGAACAGAATGTACAGTCTTTGGCCAAACACTATGGTGAACACTGGAGACCTGCTTTAAAAGGTCTTAAGAAGTCAGGCAAAAAATAATAGAGACATAAGCAGTCACAGTCCAGATCAAACCGGATCAGACCGGATCAAACAGGATCAGACCAGATCAAACCGGATAAAACTGGATTGGACCGGATCATACCGGATCAAACCAGATAAAACCAGATCGGACCGGATCAAACCGGATTAGACCGCATAAAACCAGATCAGACTGGATCAAACCGGATAAAACCGGATTGGACCAGATCGGACCGGATTAGACTGGATCAAACCGGACCGGACCAGACCAGACTAAACTGGACCACATCAGACTTGACCAAACCGGACCAGACTAGACTAGACCATATCAGAGTAGACTAGATCATATCAGACTAGACCAGACCAGACCAGACCGAATCAAACTGGACCAGACCGGATCAGACTGGATAAAACCGGATCGGATCGGATCAAACAGGATCAGACCGGATCAAACCAGATAGAACCGGATCGGACCAGACCAGACCGAATCAAACTGGACCAGACTGGATGAGACCGGATCAAACCGGATGAGACCGGATCAAACCGGATCATACTGGATCATACCGGATAAAACCGGATCAAACTGGATCGGACCGGATCGGACCGGATAAAACTGGATAAAACCGGATCAAACCGGATCAGACCAGATCAAATACCGGATCAAACCGGATCGGACCGGATGAAACCAGATCAAACTGGATCGAACAGGATCAAACCGGATAAAACCGGAACGGACCGGAACGAACCAGATAAAACCGGTTCAAACCAGATCGCACCGGATCAAACCGGATTGGACCAGATCGAACTGGATCGAACCAGATAAAACCGGATCAAACCAGATCAGACCGGATCAAACCGGATCGGACCGGATCAAACCGGATAAAACCAGATTGGGCCAGATCAGACTGGATCAAACCGGATAAAACCAGATTGGACCAGATCAGACCGGATCAAACCGGATAAAACCAGATCGGACCGGATTAGACCGGATCAAACCGGACCAGACAAGACCAGACTAATCCGGACCACATCAGAGTTGACCAAACCGGACCAGACTATACCATATCAGAGTAGACTAGATCATATCATAGTAGACCAGACCAGACCAGAAGAATCAAACTGGACCAGACCGGATAAAACAGGATTAGACCGGATCGAACAGGATCAGACCGGATCAAACCGGATCACACCGGATGAAACCGGATCACACCGGATGAAACCGGACGAAACCGGATCAAACCGGATGAAAGCGGATCAAACCAGATAAAACCGGATCAAACCGGATGAAACCGGATCAAACCGGGTGAAACCGGACGAAACCGGATCAAACCAGATAAAACCAGATCAAACCAGATGAAACCGGATCAAACCGGGGCGGATCGGCCGGTTCAAACCAGATGAAACGGATCAAACAAAACCGGATCAAACCGGTTCAAACCAGATGAAACCGGATCAAACCGTATCAAACCAGTTCAAACCAGATGAAACTGGATCAAACCGGATCAAACCAGATGAAACCAGATCAAACCGGATCAAACCAGATGAAACCAGATCAAACCAGATGAAACCGGATCAAACCGGTTCAAACCAGTTCAAACCGGATGAAACCGGATCCAACAAGATCAAATGGGATGAAACCGGATCAAACCGGTTCAAACAGGTTGACACCGGATAAAACCGGTTCAAACCAGATGAAACCAGATTAAACCGTATCAAACCGGATGAAACCGGATCGAACCGGATGAAACAGGTTCAAACCAGATGAAACCGGATCAAACCGGTTCGAACCAGTTCAAACCAGATGAAACCAGATCAAACCGGATGAAACCAGATAAAACTGGATCAAACCGGTTCAAACCGGTTGAAACCAGATGAAACCGGTTCAAACCGGTTCAAACCAGATGAAACCGGATCCAACCGGATGAAACCGGATAAAACCGGATCAGACCGGTTCAAACCAGATGAAACAGGATCAAACCGGATCAAACCGGTTCAAACCGGTTCAAACCAGATGAAACCGGATGAAACTGGATCAGACCGGTTCAAACCAGTTTAAACCAGATGAAACAGGATCAAACCGGTTCAAACCGGATAAAACCGGATCAAACCGGATCAAACCGGTTCAAACCAGATGAAACCGGATCAAACCGGTTCAAACCGGATCAAACCA